GTCATAGCAATAGTAATTTTAGTATTCTCTATTCATCAGTAGGAATAGTATTCATTGATAGATATTGAAAGTACTCGTGTGTAGAGTTGCTAAAATATATTCTATTAATCGACATACTCACTTTCAAAGTTCTTAAGTGTTCATTGAACGATTAAGGTACTGTGATTAAAGCTAGACTTGCATTTCTCAAGAAAAGGATTCTCAAGTTGTCACTTGAAGCCACCTATTTAATGATTCATCAGCTAAGTTGAACAGCCTTTTTGGTTTTGGCACTTTACATGGAAAAGGAAATCTTTTTCTAAAGTAAGTTATTGGGAAAGGCTCTGAGAAAATTATTCGGTTTATTTCTGTTGTGTGTTCAAATTCCTGAAGAAAAGAATCTTCACATTCTTGCAAGTTTTCTCTTTCCTTCCCTCATTTCAGAGTGAGACAAGGTTCTGTTTCCCTTTTCAACACTTGCAAAATGGCTGACACTGATATGTGGACTCTCTTTTTCTTTCTAAAAAAAATAAAATAAGACACTATAAATTATGACATAAAGAAGCATTTTTGCACTTTTATTATTAGAAATAAACGCAAGTATTTGAAGTGTGTAAACAAAGAATTGAGAGAGAGAAAGAAGAGAATGGGAAAACCCTTTTGTCTTAAGGTCTTTTCCATAATGTTAAGCCACAATTTATGGACTTCAAAATTCCACTGAAAATGACCAGGACAATGAAGGAAGTAAACACCCTAATGCAAATTGATTTTTTTTGTTGGTTGATAGTTTATTGTGGTTTTGTTTAATGGTGAATGATCAGAACTTGCCAAAAGTTTTTGCTATCAGCCGACAAGCAGGATGTCTTTAGGAATTTGCCATCAGGAAAGTTTTGTGCATTACTCATGAGCAGCCAGCAGCTTTCCTTACATCTCTGGAAAGAAGACAGAGCTGAAGGGGAGGCAAGAAGACAAGGAAAAGGATGCAAAACTCAGGAGGAGAAAACTCAGGATACTCCACCCCGGAAGCCCGAAGGAAGCACAAGCAGCTGCCTAGGCTTGCTTGCCGTGCTTCTCGTTGGTAAATCAGTAAGGCATTCCAAGTGGCAGAAGCCTTCACGCAAGGCTGCTCAGGGCTGTCACACTATACAGCGTGTGCATGCATAATGTATAAATATATCCATGTGCGTTTCTCTCTCTCTCTCTCTAGATCCTATTTATGTGTCTACATGTATTTAATGCATTGTTAATATATGCATGTGTATAAATCCATTTGTAGTACCTCTATATACACTATCTGTGAAACAATAGATGGGACATCAATGGCATATCTGTTGGTGTGTCTATGTGTGTACCCATATACATAGCCGTGTCTGTATGTACCTGTATATATATTTTTAAACACACCACGAGTACCACTTATACCACGGTACATACAAATGGCATAAACTGTGAAAAAGAACATACACATATGTAGAACCTAGTCTGGAAACCACACGCATCGTAACTACTATGTTAATTTCTCATGTAGTCACAGACACTGGAGTTGAAGGGAGTCGTACGGATCCTGGCGTACGGCTGTCGGTATTTATGCATGGCACGACTCCAAGTAGCCGATATAGGAGAATTATGCCCAAAAGAGACGCCAGCGCCGCCTCCGCCCGGCCAGTAGCTCGACGCTGAGCCGGCGTCCGCAGGCGCTGACGCTGTGTCTCCCCGCAGGTGATGATGCTGGGCAGCACGCGTGTGGCCGAGCTGCTGCTGCAGCGCGGAGCCGACCCCAACCGGCCCGACCCGAGCACCGGCTGCCTCCCGGCGCACGACGCGGCCCGCGCCGGCTTTCTGGAGACGCTGGTGGCGCTGCACCGGGCCGGGGCGCGCCTCGACCTGCCCGACGGCCGCGGCCACCTCCCCCTCGACGTGGCGGCGGGGGGCCCGCACGGAGCCGTGGGCCGCTACCTGCGCCACCCGCCGCCCCTGTCGCCAGCCGGCAGGGCCGCCCAGGGGGCAGCGCCCTGACCCGCCCTCGGCCGCCCCCGCCGAGCCCTCGCCGCCTGCGCCCATCTCCGCCGCCACCGTCCCCGCCGGCCACTCACCCAGCGAGCCACCGCGTCTGCCGGCGATACCGCCGCCCGACCCCTGCCAAGACTCTGCCTCTGCCCCGCTGCCCAGAGCTCCTCCGCACGCCACGGCCACCCCGTGTCCTGCTTCTGCCGGAGGACACGTGCTGCTCAACTGCCTGAGAAAAGAAGGAAAGAACCGAAACACTGCCAAGGCGAGCGCTCCTGCTCTCCCTCTCAGGCTCCCTGGTGGGCCGAGCACAGGTAGCAAAAGGTTCTCCTGTGCTTCGGGAGTGGCGAGGTGGGCGGAAAAATCCGCCGTTTGCCCTCTCCGATTTCTGGTTACGGGGAAGCTGCTTAGAGAAGTCAGAACGCTGTGTTTCCCTTACCGGCTTGCTCACCGCCCTGCAAGGTTTGGCATTGTAGTCATCCCTTGAGATTCTTCTATGTCCTAGGGCTCTCACATAGCGAACACTTCAGCCCTCTCCTTTACAAATGGAATTAATCTTCCAATCTTCTCCTCTCAGCAGTCCACTTCACTTACAGTTTTAAGACTGAGATATAACACTGATGGATTGTCCAAATATTTAACACTGATAGACATCACAATTTAAGAACTACTACAAATATGTTGTAGAGTTGCATTTGGAGAAGCTATCCATGTCAAAAAACATGGGTCTCTAAACTAGATCTTTGGAAAAAACAACAAATGGCCGAGTTGGGTTACAAAGTTGGATCTTTTCACACTTTGTATTTTCTCTCCTTCCTGCAGAATTTCCATTGCCTACCCAATGTTTGTATCACTTGCATGTAACCAAATACCTATTCTTACTCGATAACTAAACAGGAGATTGGCTCGGAAAACTTCCTTCCTAGTGTTCAGCTATTAAAGGAATCTGTGTGTAGCACCACTCAGAGTTGGGCACTGGTTTTTATTTCGACTTGGTTGATTGCTTTCTTGTTTGTGGGAGTCTGTGCATAAATACATATGGATACTCACAGCACGTTCACAGCAGGCCGAATACGAGGGGCTTTTTGAGATGTGTATTAAGTACATACACACACCACTTAAACACATCCAAATGCTTTGTTTTCTTATTAAAACAAGACTTAGAGAGCAAAAGGAAAGCTCAACTGAACTTTGTATCTTTGCATGACTTTATAATCTGTTTTTAAAAGTAGGAAGATTTTTCTTTTCCTGCCCAAAAAAGTATTGGCAGGCAGTATTGGCACACTGGGGCATGCACTGTTGGTGCACACTCTGCCTAAAGACTTTTTTCCAATCCCTGGAGGAAGGTTGGTGTCAGCATGCCCGTGTCTTGACCACGGTATCAAAACACATCAAATGTAATTCAGAACCTTCTCACACAGTTGATACAAAAGCTGCTTCCCAGGAAGCACTAATTCTTAAAACAGAACTTCTAAGGTCAAATTAAAAGACTTCCAGGAGATCAAATGTCTTTCTCCTTGTGCCAGAGGAACCATACAGGAGGAAACCAACCAACAAGACATACTTCACCTACCCTCTAAAATACATTTCACTTACTACACACACTGCTACACTACTCAGTTCCAGCACGGCCTCCTCTATGACACCTTCATCTTCAGGTAGAAAACGTATTTCCAAGTACGCCCAGTCATGCCACTCTTTGCACCACAAATGGCCTGAGCCAAGACACAGTAAAGGAGGTTGGGAACTTGACAATTATCTAAACAAGCAATGGCAAACTTTTGCAAAAGTGTGATGAAAAGTTGATGTCAATTCTTTGGAACTGTCCTGCTTCAGCAGCACTGCAGTGACAGTGGGGAGAGAAAGCAGTCCTTAAAACAGTTAAGACAGTATTTCCATCTTAGAGAGCTGGTCCTGCCCAGTGCTGAGCACCTTCTGAATTCATTTCTCCTCTTGTTGATGCTCAGCTGGTTTTGATAAACCAAACACTCTCACTGGTTAGAGTGCTGGGAACTCCAACTGCTCTCGGATCTGCTTTCAATACTAGTGCATACTAATAATAGTTCTGGTGTCACATGCCACCTGTGCTGATGTTGAGAGATGCTTTGGATGTTGGTAGCAGGAAACACTAGGAAGTGTTAGCCAAGTAAAATGAGATAACAGTTGGAATCTCATGTTAGCAAGACAGATCAAGGCTAGACTGCTAAGAATGATGTGGAGAAAATAGAACAGGGAGCAAAAGGGTAAAGGCAATGGCCCACCCCACAGTCTAGTTTGTGCCATAGTTGAACCTGCATTGGCATCAGTACATTACACTGCTGACATGCACGTTGGAGGCTGCTCTAGTGAGCAAAGTCAATTGAGATCTCCTCCAAGACAAACGGACTTTAAAAGCCATGGATAGCTGGGTAAAACAAAATCCAACAACTGCAAAATACAGCAATTGCACACTGAGAGAGGGCAAGTGCTTGTGACACAAGCAAGTGAGGGGTGCTGGCTCGGAACATGGACAGGAGCTGTTTGGATCTGAATGCTACCAAGTCCAAATTCAGAAGTCTCTTCAATCAAAGCAGAAGGAGATCTGTCGCCTGTGACATGTGCACCAAGGTGAAGCAGAGCTCCCACTGAACGCCAGTGGAAGGACAGTTGGACAGAAGTTGCTGTGAGTGGGTACATGTCTTCTTTCGCATTTGTTATTTGCAGGTTGAACTCACCCCGCAGTGACACTCTGCTTGTGGTCTGTATGGATCTGGACATTTTATGAAGTTCCAGTATGTGGCCTTTGCTTTGGAGGCCAGCTGAAAATGTTGTGAGGAATCGGTTGGTTACCGATTCTGTGTTTCCCGGTCCTTGCTTCATACTGACACCCCTCCTGCTTTGTGCATTTGTGCTATGTGCAAGCACTCAGCTCCAATCAATCTGCCCTCTGTACAAGTGGGAAAGAAAATTCAGGTTTAAGCATTTCTTTCTAATGAACCAACTCCTGCCCAGCTGCATTTCTCTGTTCCCCCAAGGCAAATCCTGCACAGGAGCAAGAGAGACCGAGCTGTTCTTCAAGAAGTCCTCCAAGCTCCAGGGCTGCTCTTTCCCCAAAGTCTTGAAAGCATTCAGGCCATACAAATCAAGAAGTTAGTTTAGGGCAATTCCACTGGAGAAAGCAAAGCAGAATTGGAAAACTTCAGGTTAAATTTGACTAGCTATTACTTTTATTAGGCTTTTTGTGGTTCTAATGAGTTTTGTATGAGATATGTACGTCATTTACCCATAGAGAAGCTCCTTTGTTTGATTCAGCACATGCTATTTAGGTACCTGTGCTGAAGCAGGCACTGTTTAAAGAAGACTTTAAAATGGTCTGCGAAACATAGAGTGATGGTTCTGACCTGGCTCACTTGGGCACGGGAGAATGGTATTGAATGGGTATATCACATTTCACATCATGCACCCACTGCTGGGAAAGTTGAAAGATGTAATGGACTGTTAAAAACAAGTCTAAAGGCACTTGGTGGGGGAACTTTCAAGAACTGGGATAAGCACTTAGCCAAGGCCACCTGGCTAGTTAGCTTTAGAGGCTCTGTCAATCAAGCTGGTCCTGCCCAAGCAGAATCCCTCCACACTGTAGATGGAGACAAAGTTCCAGCGATCCATCTGAGAGGTATGTTAGGGAAGGCTGTTTGGATTACTCCTCCCTCAGGCCAAGACAAACCCATTCGTGGGATTGTTTTCGCTCAAGGGCTCGGAAATACGTGGTGGGTAATGAGAAAGGATAGAGAGATCCAGTGTGTGCCTCAAAGAAATTTAACCTTGAGGAAAGACATATGAGTTGTGTTTCGCAGGAAACCAGTCACGAGATGAGAAAGACCTGAACAAATTGATGCTGGGATCCAATGATAAAACAGCCCAGACCAGAGAACCAGCCCTAAAACCCAAACTGTGATTATAACCAAAGGGCCAAGGATCCGAACTGAGCTAATGCTGATGTTGATCTTCTATGACAAGACAATTGCTCCAAAGGACTATATATACATATATATATGTGTATATATGCGTGGGATATAAGCGAACGTGAAACATAAGTGTTATGTAAAAATAGTATGGAATAAGGGGTGGAGAATGTGATGGTTTTGGTCTAGGCCTTCCTGGTAACCAGCTCATAACCAAGGAAGTGGCCACGTACCCAGTATTCCATGCGATTTTTACATTAACCAGGGTATAAATAAGTTGGAGATTAGAGACCTCTCTCTCCCTTCTGGCGAGGTTGAGGGCAGTGGGTCCTTGTGTTGGTCTCTTATCTAAGGCTGAGGCCTTTAGTGACTGCTGGTCTGCCACGTGGAAGATTGGAGAGTGCAGGCTGTGTCTGCCAATCTTGCTTTTCTGAGGGACACGGTGAGATTTGTTTTGCTAGTTATTTTGATAGTTCTTGGGTTTGATTGTGTATATTTGTTCTGTGTCCCTTTTTGTCCCTTTATTTCCCTTTCCTTTCCCTTCATGGGGGGGGGGGGGGGTGTTTGGATTCCCTTCACTGTGTACATAGCATCTTAATTGTATAGAACTGTAATATAAGTATATGCACACAGTTTGCAATCTGTGATGTTTGAAAACTAGGCAACGGCCACAATTGAGCATCCTAGAGATGCAATTTTGCAAGAGCTTCAAGCTAGTACTTGTTAAAAATGCTTCGCATATTATGATACAGGAGTAGTGTCAATAGTATGGTCACAGAAAAAAAAAAAGAAAAAAAATTGTAATGGATACACTCAAACTGAAGTGAGGCAATGTTCATCAGTGAAGTTCTCTGCCTGTCACTGTCTCATTCTTGTCAAACCAGATACATTCTGAGTGTGAGAAGGACCATGGTTCTCTGCTAGAATGCTTATTGGGTTTTAGGAATGCAGTACATTGAATTTGTATCTTCTTGCTCTCTGTCACATCTGCAGTTCTTCCTACAATACATTTCTTAAGACTCTTTTGAAAGACAATTAAAAGCACTTATATTTGGCCCTATCTTTATA